GGTGGAAGGGAAGGGTAAGGGGGGGTGGGGGGTGGAAGGAGCAGCCCAGAAGTAAGTGTGGGGTGCTCGGGTCTCTGCAAGTCGAGTCTTTGTGATATAAAATTAGACGAGAAATGTGAGCCTTCAGTTTTCCAGTGCGTGCTCTGTGTCTGGACGCTGCTATGTAGGTTAAGGGTTAGGGGGCTTGGGACTTGCTGGGCTCCTCTCTTTGTGTTTCTGCAAGAGTAACTAACCTTGTAAGACGTGCGATAACAAATATAAATCAAGCACATTTTTAGGCGTTCTCCCTTCTTGCCGTCTCCCTGCCTCCGAGCCCTTTTTCTCTCTCCTTTTTCTCTCGCTGTCACCGTGTAAATTTATTAACAAAATGAAAGGCCCACTTTCCATGGGCAGCTGAAGAAGGTGCCTTTGGATAATGCCCCCAGCCTCGCCGGGGGACCTGCCGGGGATGTTGTGGGGTGATCTCGCCTCCTTTGATATTTTTTTTTTTTTACTGGGGAGGGGGTGGGTAATATAATAACAGCAGCAACAATATATGCGGTGGGCGAGAAACGCGTGTGGGACCAGCGCCGGGGATTTTGAACTGAAGTGTTTCTTTCCTCGCCCCCCACCTCTTCCCTCCCCATCCCGTTCCCCCAGCCTCAAATCAATAAGCTGTTTTAGGTGTAATGAAGAAAAATATCCGGGCACACAAAGACGTATCCTGCATCTCTTGAAGGAGGGGTGGCAGTGGAGTTGGGGGGGGGATATAACTGAATTATGGTGTGTTTTGGAAAGTGAGGCTCTCGGGCTCCTTCAGGCAGTCCTGGCCAAGCGGATAGCATTGCTCAGCTTTTATTGTTGCTTTTGCTTGACCCGGGAACCGCGGAGACTTAAAACGGGGTACGGGCCGAACTCTGGTTGGGGGGGGGGGGGAAAAGCTTGTTCCCCCTTAAACTGACTTGGTACGGTGTCACACAGGCACGCACAAGCACACAAAGCAGGCTGTATTTGAACCGATGGTCGCAATTCAGATATTAATAGCTGTAGTTTCTTCTTTATTCACTGCAGCGGTCCAGAGGGGCAGAATGCCACCCACACAGCCAACTCATGGTCAGTTCGCCTTGACAAACGGGGACCCTCTCAACTGCCATTCCTACCTATCCGGATATATCTCCCTTCTTCTGAGAGCAGAGCCCTACCCCACCTCCCGCTTTGGCAGTCAGTGCATGCAACCCAACAACATCATGGGCATCGAGAACATTTGTGAACTGGCAGCTAGGATGCTCTTCAGCGCGGTGGAGTGGGCCAGGAATATCCCCTTCTTCCCAGACCTCCAGATCACAGACCAGGTGGCCCTCCTGAGGCTGACCTGGAGCGAGTTATTTGTCCTCAACGCTGCCCAGTGCTCCATGCCCCTCCACGTAGCTCCGCTCCTGGCAGCTGCTGGCCTCCACGCTTCGCCAATGTCTGCTGACCGAGTGGTCGCCTTTATGGACCACATACGAATCTTCCAAGAGCAAGTAGAAAAACTGAAAGCATTGCATGTCGACTCTGCAGAATATAGCTGTTTAAAGGCCATAGTCCTCTTCACCTCAGGTAGGCAGCATTTCTTTGCTCTTCCTTTTTTTCCTTCCCCCGACCCCCCCTGAGAACTGTTTGCTCTTGCAAAGTGTTATTGCCTGCACCCCATCACTGCTCCCTGCCCCCCCCCGAGAGCCAGCGCGGTCTCATTCCTTTTAGGAAACGGTGTCCTGTGGTCTCCCCTTCAGGGCCTCGGATCTGAGCATCCCATCTTCGAGAGAGTGCAAAATTTAAAAATAATTAGAAAAAAAAAAAAATAAAACACACACACACACACAAAAAGACAACCAAAACACACTCCAACCCTAGTTGAATAATGCTGGGGATGGGGGAAGAGAGGGCTCGGGGAGAGGCACCCATTCGCTACGAGACACTGCGCCTTTCCCATTGAAAATAATATTTTATTTAACAGTATAGCTCTGGGTTGTTGCATTTAATGACACGCATCCGAACAGCAGCAAAATCTGTTTGATGTTGTTAAATACAAGCCGTCCTATCAGTGAAACCACTTTAAAAAGAGGATCATTTTATGGGCAGCCAGGAAGGGAAAAAAGCCCTGCAGGATTAAAAATTGAATTAAAAAAAAAAAAAAAAGTTAAATGCGCAAAGCTGAGTTTAAAATATGTTGCCTGCCATCCCATAAAATAAAATAAATCAACTTTCCAAAGAGCTGTCTCTGATTTAAACAGAATGTGGCAGTGAGCAGTTCTGTGTCATTTAAGCTAAGGGGAAAAGTTTGCATTTGTACCCAGCAGGAACCGCAGAGTCCAAAGCGAGGAGCGAGTAGCGGGTGCGAAAAGATCATTACCATAAGTAGACAGGGATAGCATGAAAAAGTAAGAGGAGACTGAAGCTGCCACTCCGCAGTGTAATTCCGGGGTGGCACAACCATGCCTCTCCCGAGGAAAAGACCTCGAGGTGTTTCTTAGATAATCAAAGAGAGGGGGGGGAAAAATATGTGTCAACTTTTGCTGCCTAGAAATAGTGCCTGAGTTATAAAGCAATAATTGAGTGCGTTGTGAAATCTAATTAGCTTGCACTAGAGTTTAACCTGGGTGAGTAATAAACCTGATATTAACTCTGGAGGCTAAATTTTTTTTTTTTTTTTGAGGGGAAAAAAATTCTGCTCGCTAATTTGTGCAATACGTTATCTCAGATTGCTAACTTTAAGGCTGCATCGGTAACCCAATGTGCTGGAGCCCTAGAAGTTTTGGGATTAAGTTTAAAAATACATATATTTCTCCTGTAACTCATTTGAAAGCTTGGGAAAGTGGCCACGCGATAAACATATGAATGGAAGCAGGACCTGTAAAATAATTACTCATCGGAGTTTTTTAAAGCCTGATATCAGGAAACAGGAAAAAAATGTAGTTTATGTGGGAAAAGAAGGGCTCACAATCCGTTCCTTGTTGTGTTAAAGGGGGTCTGGGGAACGAAGTCATTTTCTGGACTTTGTCCAGGTTCTGGGTCGTGACCTAAACTTCCTTTTATATATTATTGCTTTACACATAAAAAACTTCTCTTTTTTTTTTTCCTCTCCCCCCGTCCCCCCCCCCAAATTACTCGTGCTAAACTCCTAAGGTGATCAATGACCAGGGCGCATCTAGCCACAGGGAGACAGGGATCCCGTGTGGGAAGGGGTGTACGGGAGGTGCTTATTTTATTTTTTTTCTATCGTTTTCTAGGATGCATTTTCCTCTCCCTCGCTCAAACGCTCAGCGAGGATCCCACACACGCTCACATCCCTCCCCAGCCCCTGGCCAGCTCACACCCACACCGAGGAGTTTATTTCCAATCCTGCCTTTTCTCCCAAATCACTTTTTTTTTTTTTTCCTTTTTTTTTTTTTCTAGCCTTCTGAGAAAACAATCGTCCGATCCTGTCGTAACTGTTTAATTTATTACTATTTTCAAAATGTGAGGCCTGGCGTGTAAATTGCCTCCCAACTAGATAAACGTTTCTTGTTATCTGATTCTGGGGAAGATAGCCGCATGCAAAAAAAAAATAGGGTGATGCATGCAGCTTCTGCAGCACCCCAATACCGCTCCTTGATGTAAAGCAGACGCACATAGATGCATATAATGTTTGCTGCAGCCTCTTTTAAGAGAAAAAAAAAAAAAAATCTGGGTTCTAATGACTCGCAGAATATGCATGTGTTAGCCCTGTGCCTAGGAAAGCCACAGGGAGGTCAGGTCACAACCTGTGCTCTTTCAGCACAGACGTCTCTGATTTAAAGGGAACTTATTGTATTTTAGCGTATCAGGAAAAAAAAGAAAAAAAAATGTCCAGACCCTATCAGGGAGTTTTCTTCTTGTAAGGGCCTTTAGGTTTAAAAAGAAGAAGAAGAGGGAAAAAAAAAGAGGGGGGAGTGGAGGGGGGGAAGAAAGAAAGAGAAAAGAAAAGAGGGGGGAAAAGAAACAGCTCAAATGAACAGAGAGATCACAGTTTGCATGGCTGCCTCTGAATAGGCTAAACTGACAAGATCAGTTTTAAAGGGCCACTTAAATCAGTTTCAAAGACTGAAGAAAAACGCGTTGTCTTCTTTGGGGGAGAATCTGTTGCTGGATCCGGGGCGCCATTATCTTTGGCTGGGCCAGTTTTTTATTATTATTATGATTTCTATCACTGGTATCAGTATTCCTTCTCATCACATGGTTAGGCTCTCCCCAATTATTTTCCAAGGGGGGGAGAAATAGTGGCTCCCTTTCCCCCTTTCGACTCAAGCCTTCCCCGCCCCCCCCAGCCTTTCCCCCTAAAAATATAGATATACGAAATTGCGCTTGGCCAGCACCTCCTTGTCAACCCCTCAGGTCTGTCGTGCCATTAGAAATCTCGAATCTTGGAGATTCTCGATCCTAAAGGAGACCCTCCAGAAGTGAGAGAAATACAAACACACACACGTACGCTGAAAGAGAGATTGTCCCTTTTGGTAAAACCTACTTAAACTCTGGGGGGCGAGGTGATGGCGCACGATCTGCACATAATTCTAGCAATAAAAAAGATCAAATTAAAATTAAAAAAAAAAACTTTTTAATCTGATGATTGTTTTCTTTTTTCTTTTCTTTTTCTTTTTTTTTTTTTTTTTTAATACACTTTCTTCTAGATGCCTGTGGTCTCTCTGATGTAGCCCATGTTGAAAGTTTACAGGAGAAGTCACAGTGTGCTTTGGAAGAGTATGTTAGGAGCCAGTATCCCAACCAGCCAACGCGATTCGGGAAGCTATTACTACGTCTCCCCTCCCTTCGCACTGTCTCCTCTTCTGTCATAGAGCAATTGTTTTTCGTCCGTTTGGTAGGTAAAACCCCCATAGAAACCCTAATCAGGGATATGTTACTGTCTGGCAGCAGTTTTAACTGGCCTTATATGTCCATTCAATAAAATATTCGAGAGAGAGAAAAAAATTTAAAAAATAAAAAATTAAAATTGAGAAGGGAGATGAAAGAGAGTGAAAGGAAAGCAAATGACATTTGGGTTCTGGTTGTTTCTTAAATTTCCTTCTGCTAAGAAAGGATGTAAAAGGATGTTACAAGTTTGCTAAGAGAAGACAGGAAAAAATTAATGGACTGTGAATTAAAAAAAAAAAGACTGTCAAATGAACTTTTACAGAATGCATTAAAAACTCCCGTGTCGTTCAGAAAAAAAAAAAAACTTGCTACTTATCATTTTTTTTTGTAAAAAATAAAAAGGAGAGAAAGAAAAAAGAAAGAAAGAAAAAAGAGAAAGAAGAAGAAAAGAAACGATGGTGGGCTTTTTCTTTTTTTCTTCTTTTTTTTCTTTTTTTTGGGGTAAACTTTTTAAAAAATCTCGCTTAAAGTGCATTTAAAGGAAATTTGGAGAAAATTAGCAGAACGGAAGAAAGTAAGTCTTTTTTTTCCAAATTATTAATTGTCCTATGTGTCTATGTACCTATAGCTGTTCTTTTTTGTATTTTTCTGGTTTCAAACCAGTTTATTCTGTGGTTCTATAATAATTTTTGATATAACCTTGGCTTCTTTAAAAAAAAAAAAACCTGTGTATCCTTAAAATATATGTTCTGAAAGAATTAAAACTGAGTCCACGAAAGTATCATAGGAAGAAAGGAAAAGAGAAAAAATACCCTCAACAACACAATGATGGAAGCGCACTTAAGGTGGTGACCCAAAATCTAGCTTGAAGCTGAGAGAGCTATAATTATATAGACCCGAATGAACCACACGTGTCATATAACTACCCCCAAATCTAGGTTTTTTGATATTTCGGACAGAAAATGAACTGTGGGGATTTATCATAAGTAGAAGGAATTTGTGTCCAAGACACACTACGGTTTTGATTTAAAAAACAAACAAACAAGCAAAGTGAACTTTTGTAATTTGAATTGGGTTCCACGTAGTTCATCATGAATTGTTATTAAACTCCTCTATCTGTTTGTATATTTGCAAGCCCTTTGTATTATAATAATTGTTGATATTTTCCCTTTTTAAAAAATACCATTGAAATCAGCATGACAAAATAACACTGTTGGCACTTATAGATAACGTGATTGATTCAGTATCTTAGAGTTTACAGTTTTGTGTTTAAAAAAACTGAAGGTTTTTTTTTTAAGTGCAACATTTCTGTATACTGTAAAAGTTATAATAACTGAACTGTTTGGTCGAGTCTTTGTGTGTTATATTCCAAGGAAAATTGAAAGTATTCAGAAATTAAAATATTATTTGATATCTGAAACCTGTTTGGCTGTCATAAATGTCTTTCAGAAACCACATTACTTCTCTATAGTTTGCAGTCATTTAAGTCCATAGGCGATTGATTTGTTTACTTGTCACAGTAAGTTTGTAGCAGATGTATTGTAGTGTATTTACCTGTTTAATTCCGGGATGGGGGTGGAGGACTTAAGTTCGTGGTTTATCTCTGGTTTTAGGAAGTACTATGCTGAAATGGTAAACCATCAACCCCCATTCATCTAATCCTCCTGTTAATTAAAAATGGATTTTCTGGAGAAAAAAAAAAAAAGGCCCTTATTTTTGTCACACTTAAGTGCCTGCGTAGGAAAGGTATTGTTGTGAAAAAAGTATTAGAAATCTGGAGATCAGTATCTATTTTATGATCAGAATGGGGCGAAAAATCTTTTGTAAATGTCTGACATACGCGCACAAGATCATTCAAGCAAGGTAATAGCAGTATTGTAAATATAGGTCAGTTGTTTGCAATGAGTTTTCTTTTAAGTATGTGTGATTTTTTATAATACTCCGTAGTTGCCATCTATCGTTGTCATTGAGAGGTCTTCAAATGGAGTGGCTTTAGCTTCTAGCACTGAGGAGTCGGTTTTTAATGTATATATACTCTCAAGTGGATTTTTTTTTTTTTACCTTAGACTGTGAAAGCATGACCACAGGTCATCTCTATATTTTACATATGGGATATGTGTCTGTATGTATACTTGCATACATACATGCGTAGGCGTACATGCATCTTTCCTGTGTCGCTCCAGGGCCCTCTCTTGCAGCCCTTGCGCGGGCACAGCTCCCACTGATGCGGTGGGGACCTGCCTGGGCGAGTGGCATAGGATCGGACACACCAGTTGGGAATTTAGTGCTGTCCCGAGCAGGCAAAGAAACCAAAATCTGAAGGAAGGCAAGATGATGTGGTTTTGCAAGGGGTTGATATTTTGTTTTGTGTGTGTGCGTGTCATTTTTTTTTCTTTTTTTTTTTTTTTTCCCCCTTCTCTCTCTCCCCCCACCCGCCCTCCCCTTGGTCTATAGCAGATGCTTTGTATGTGAAAGCTTGCAATTTTGTTCTTGTCTGAGGCTTCCCCCTCTCCCTTTTTACCACACGTAACTACACCATGTTGTGGTTTCACAAAAAGAGAGAGAGGGAGGGAGAGAGATCGTTCTGTAAAGTCGATTAAACCCTGATCTTTAGTGTGTTCCAGTTAGACACATCTGTACTGGGGGCAGAGGGGCGTATGACTGTGAATTTGAGCAGAGTTTTACATCTGAATCATGGCTCCTTTTCTATAAATATATAAATATAATAAATATAT